CTTAAGTTTTTCTTAAGTTCTCTTTTTGTTATGTCCTAGTTTTTTCCTCCTTGTGAGCACTTTTTGTTTATGCCAGTACCTAGTACTTAAGAGGGATTTCCTGATCTTTGGAATTAAAAATACATTTTGTTACATTCAAGACTTTGTCTCTGGGTCGTGCATTTGGGGACCTTGAACATCGAAAGCTAATCCTTTCAATAGCCATCATTACAATTCACTTAAACCACTATATGTCGAAGTCATTCTTAATAGTCCCTGTAGACCGATGCTAAATGCTAACATAACCATGCTAACATGCTCAAGATAAAAATGCTGATATTTACTGGGTTACTTACGTTGGGGTACTGCAGAGGGTACGTGAGATTTTAAAAAAACTAAAAAAAGTTAATTAAAAAAATACCATTCATGATTGCAAAAATAATCTTAGCACAATAAGTTAAATAGAAAACACAATTTTATATAAAATATTCCTAGAACCACCAAGGGGGTCCTCATATAAACATGTCAAATGTGTGTATTGTATTTTATAGTTTTGCATAATATATCATTTTGTTCATTGGTTTGTTAAACAGATATTACTTCAGTTGAAAAACTCCTTGGAAAAATCAGTTTAAAAAAAGGTCGTTATGTTATTTTTTTTTCATGCATACAATGAAAATATCCTTAGTTTGTTGTAATGAATGCATGAAGGAGTTAATAAATCACACACTGAGGGAACATCACTATATTGGAATTATTTTGTATGGGCTTTTTCGATCAAAAATGTTCGGGGTCGGTCAGGGGGTACACTACTGAAAAAAGTTTGAGAAGCACTGAGCTAATTAGTGCAGAACATAAATATATAAATAATACAAATACATTTAATTTTTTACTCCACACCAAAAACAAGGGAGTTGCATCACTGGATCCTGATGAAGGACCATAAGAAGACTAGAGAAATCATAACAGTTAAAACGGTTTATCCCCGGGCTTGGGAACTATTTATAGCTAATCCATCAAATATCTGACAAAAGCTTTTACCTAAAACCATAAATGTCAACGTTATTCTTGTGCCTTGAGGGAAAGACAGAGGATCAGCAAAGTAATGAAAATGTATCCTCTGGGACCATAAATATCAGAAAAATACTTTACAGAAATCTATCCAATAACTATTAAGGTATTTCGACTGAAGTCGGTGAATGAAATTGCCATCCATAGGCAACCAGCATGGCTAAATATGCAGACATGTTCAAATTAACATGATATTCCCCTTTAATCACTACATATTTAAATGTTGTATTGCTTATAGTGCAAAAGACATTTTTTTTGTAAAGTTGGGGTTGGTGGCATCGCAAAGTAGCATAGGCGTTTATCATTCAGTAAGTCTTTCTAGGATTTTTTTCATTTTTCATTGCTCAGGAGGTTTTTACCAGGAGCGAAAACTATCCAAAGACGTCTCCTTAGTGCCAAAACAAACAGACAAATGACATTAAAGTAAAAGTTCATGATAAACATGACTGTTTTCCCAGGGGACACAGGGTGGAGCAGCTACATGCTAAAGGCTAATGTTTGCTCAGCTTGTTCGTATGATAATTTAAGATCCAGATGTCTAATGATTACATTTCCTCATCCGGTTGAAGTATATAGTTAAAAATACCAAGAACATAAAAGTCAAAATGTGGGTAGGATTCAAAGAACTTTCATGTGTTGCTTTTACAAAGTGATAACATTTGTCTCTGACTCATTTGTGTTAAGCTCTCTGTTTGGCCTTTGTTAGTGTGGTGGAAGAATAATCCCCAGTTACTGTATTCTGTCCCACATTAGACAGTTTCTCGGCTCATGCTGTCACACTTTCCAATCTCTCTTAAGCATCTTTATAACATTCTCAAGTGTTTTCAAAGTTATCACTTCAAAACTGGCATGATTGATAGGAGAGACAATAAGTGGGGGATGAAAATGTTGGAGCATTGATTTGATTTCGCCTAGCAACAGCATTTCCCTCCATAAGCTCGGCATGGGTTTGAACTCCCCACAACAATAAAAGAAATGCCATTTGGAAACAATAAAACATTTCTGCTGCACCCCTCTCCTGCTGTTTGTCCTTTGATTTTTATGTTGTGCTTCCAGCCGGCGAGCACCTCTGTTTATACCTCGCGTTTGTTGACTCTGTAGCTTATTGAGCGACGACTGTGGCACAAAGGCTATTGGGAACAATAGAGGGCTTCTACTTTGATGCTTTCATTACTGCATGTGGGTTTTGTTATGAAAGTTATACATACATTACTGGCATTTCTTTTCATTCGAGCTCCATTTTTTCCCTTTATTGCTATCAGCGTTACAACTCCCTTTTTGAAGCACAATACAGAGTTATTCCTCCGAGAATAAAGTGGAGGTGTGCGCATTGCTTCGCTTTGTTCAAGGAGGAGGAAGCAAGAGATTTCGTTTTCTTTCCTGCTGAAGTTACAATGTCTGTGCAGTGCAGATAGCCTACAGGTAAAACGGCCCGTTAAAAAAGCAGAAAAAAAAGGATTTTCCCGAGTTTGCCTTTGTGTGTGAGGGAGGCTTTGCAGTATGGATTTGTAGAGGGTGGGCAGGCTAGGGCTGTAAATAAAGTGGTTTTAAAAAAAAATAGAATAGTTCTAAAATAGAACACAGACACAGCTGCACCAGCCTCTGCAATGAGGAGATAAAGACAGTAAAGCGGGCCCAGGTCCAATGTGTACCGCTGGAAATTAAAATAAGCTCTCAGCCGGCACTTAACTTAAACATAAAACCTCCTGAATATTCATTAGAATATGTTCGAAACAGTCTTTGGGGTTGATTGACACTTGAGACCACATGGAAGCCTCAACATTTTCAAGGATCCTCCCGATTGCCTCCAGGTATTTGACCCACTTTCTATAGGTTCATGTTTGCACCATGACATTATCTGGCTAACTTACATCCTGGTTGCTCATGTCCCAGTATGGCCGCTCCCCATAGGACACCACCTCCCACATGACGATGCCGTAACTCCACACGTCACTGGCGGAGGTGAACTTCCTGAAGGCGATGGCCTCTGGCGCCGTCCACCGGATAGGAATCTTCCCTCCCTACACACACACACACACACACACACACACACACACACACACACACACACACACACACACACACACACACACACACACAGGGGTGGCATCAACTACAGATTGTATTAAATATGGATTGATTTGAACAGTCCGTTTTTTTGTATTTGTTTTTTTAATTGTTTTCCTTTCTTAGTATACTTTCTTCTTTTTTTATTCTGCCTCTGACATAAATACAATTTGAAGGCTGGCAACACCTTTGAACTTTTTTCAAAGATAATGAACTGTATTTTTGTGCAGGATGCCTGTGGCAATGGCATTATAAACTACATTTAGATTATTTTAAAGGTAAACACAAAAATGCTTTTGGTGAAATAATGAAACAGTTCCGAATCTTATGAATCAAAAATGTTTTTCTCCAATGATTCGATTCATAGGCTAGATGCATTTTATTGCTGAGAAACCGGCTAATAAAAATGTAAATTGTAAACAAAACATGTATTTTATAATACGATACTAGTTTTTTACAAGACTGTAAGTAGCATTATGTTCAAGCAAGGTTCTTTTGTAGGAAAAAACATTTAAAAAATGCAATCTGAATCTTTGCAGATAATTCCATTCCCCTATGAATGTATTTCCCCCACCTCTAGCAAAAAGCCATACAGACTTCAAACAACTAACGCAAATATTGGCACACATGAACAGCCACACATGCATCCATTATGCACGTGTGAAACAAGTAGGGGATTAACGAGCTGAATTAGGCCCTCACCAGGGAGCTGGTGTAAGTGGCGTCAGCTGACGTGTCGTCCAGGAAGCGGGACAGCCCGAAGTCGGAAACCTTGCAGACCAGGTTGCTGTTGACCAGGATGTTGCGGGCGGCCAGGTCTCGGTGCACGTAGTTCATGTCCGACAGGTACTTCATCCCCGCGGCGATTCCACGCAGCATCCCCACCAGCTGCGTCATGGTGAAGCGCCCGTCGTTCAGCTGCAGGAACACAGCGGGAGATAGAGAAAACATGCGGTTATTGGAAAGAAAAATGGGGATGTGTTGCAAAGTGGAGGGTGGGGAGATAAGGATGAGGCACCAGAGAGCCGATCAGTCACTGAGGCCACATAAACATGACATCTGTCATAACGCTTCACGGCTGCTCCTGACACTCACTGACAGCTGACCTTTTCACGCATGCTGTCCAATTAGCTGATTAATTAGACTCTTTAGTGTCCTGCTAAACCCATAAAGGTTTATATCGACACACAGACAACAGAAAGGGAGCTTCAGAGCTGGAATCAGAACCAGACGACAGCAGGGGGTTATTGCTTCCACTCTGCAACAAACCAGGTACAGGCGGCGCACGGATGTTAGCGCGGTGCTTTGTTCGCATTTTTCACGCTTGCGAACATTAAAGCGAAATCGTCCCGTCGACGGAATTAGAATGGCATGTCGCTCAAAGCCTTCTCTCGTTTTTAAAGTGCCTGATTTTGTAGGATTTTTGTGCCCTTTTATGTTAACATTTGAGAAGCATGAAACAAATGTGAGATTAGGGGCTTTCAGGGTTTAATTTACAATTCTCCACGCCTGCAAAGCGTGACACAGTGGGATGAACTCCACATAGTAATAAATCAGAACTCCAGCGTGCCGAAGCCTCACGGGAAGCCTGATGTGTGTGAATTGAAACCAATCAATCGAATGTCAATACACAATCAGCTGATGTAAAAAAAGATGGATTGGGCGAGGCTCAAACTGCTTTCATGACCTGATAATAAATGTTTTTGCTTTTTTAATCAATCCTTTCTTTTACTACACAGCACAGAACACAAGGCGTGACCTGACAAAAGCATAAACATTCTGCTTTGTAGTCGGCATAGTCCAATGAAGTCTGACAGCAAATAAGCCGGAATGGATGGAAGTGTAAACAGTGTGTGTGTGTGTGTGTGTGTGTGTGTGTGTGTGTGTGTGTGTGTGTGTGTGTGTGTGTGTGTGTGTGTGTGTGTGTGTGTGTGTGTGTGTGTGTGTGTGTGTGTGTGTGTGTGTGTGTGTGTGTAATGTTTCTACATGTGCATATGTCGTTTAGACGGGAGTGTGTCCATGTCTCTGGGGAGCTGCAGTAGAGAGTGTGTGTCACACATGGACAGTGTATGTGTCTGTGTGTGAGTTAACTCTATAGGGTTGCTGGTCTGAGTCAGAGGAGTGTGAAAGTGGCGGGAGCGGGGGTGAGGACAGCACAGGCCGCAGACTCTTTGTGTTATTTGTGGGACAGCTGACTGAGAGGAGTGGGTGAGAAGCAGGAAGAGGCTCAGGCTGGACTCTCAGATGTATTTAATGACTTCTCATAAACAGGATGATTGATAACTGACTGTTTGGCTGGATATTAGTTGGATTAACTGAAAATGAAATTAATGGTTGGAGCGATTGCAAATGAGCTTTCTCAGTCTAAGAAAAGAAAAGTAATGTTTTAGGCTCTTTTCAGCCCTTGTGTTACATTTTAGTTTTTGTGTGAGAGAATACAATAAACCACAGTTGTGATTTAAAACATAGCAGTGTAACATATGCTGTATGTTTTTGTTGCTAAAAACGAATTGAGGAAAAAAGAAAACTATTGACACATTCTAGGGAGTTACATTTGTGTATACATTATTTAAAGGCACAGTAAGTAGGTTGTTTGGTTGCAGCTTACACTATAGTAAAGGTTGGCCAGCTCAACAATAGTTGGATCGCTAGTTGGTGAAAGCCTAGGATTGTACATAAAAAAAATAGCCTTTTACCATTTCTATTCTATCTGTATGAATGAATGAGCTCTGCAGTTAAGTAGTAATATTTAGCTTTGAAGGCTCTTAATCTTTGTTTGTATTTTAACTAACTAATGTTATTAAATAGGTTTCTTTGTATTAGCGTGTAAGTGTATGTTGTATAAAGGATTTACCAAAATCGTTCAAATGACTCCCGTTTCTACTTTATATTTTGTACATTTAAGTATTTTAATAAGTGATTGATTAATGTGCTGAACATTTTCTAGATAAATAAATTAATCTTTGGTCAAAAAGGTCAGAGAATAGTGAACATTTTCATAAACAGTATTCAAGATCCATGGATATTTCTTTAAATACAGTTTTTTTCAGTCCAATACCCAAGGATATTCACGGTTATATGTTATATAACAAAAATAAGCACAACATCTCCATATTATAGATATTTTATAGATATCTTCAGACATTCTGCTTGAAATTACTTGAGCGATAAATTGATAATGAAAATACTTGTCTAATCAATTAGTCGATTAATTGTTGCCGCTCTAATTAGTATAAAAAAATATCAGACAACATACCAAGCCCTGGTATTGTATGTATTTTGCCATTAAGCTTTTTTTTGTCCAGACAGGAGGCAATGTCAAGGCTCATCAAAATCATGGATTCATCATCTATTGAAACGGTAGCCGTACACCATTTAAAGATGAACTGCTTTTTTGTTCCAGCAGCTTGGCAATCGATCGACCAGCAGCATTAAGTATCCTCACCCAGCCTAACTGTTACAGTAAGTAGACTTCTTTACAGTGCAGCCACGCAGAAAAACACATTTGATTAAACGTAAATGATACGTAATAGCCCCCACGCAGCTTTAAATGTACTGTGTGACACCTCATTTCTCATCCTGCCTTTGTTCAGTGCTTTGTGTAGGTGGATGGTCTGAACCGTAATCTCTGATCAGTAATGTGCTCTGTAGTTGAACAAAGACTCGAATACACTGAAGCAAACGTATCCAAAGGTCTGCCGTGTGGCGTTTATCCACCAGGAGTTTGTGCATTGGAGCTCCTGTCAGCATCACTCAGTCACGTCAAGGCAAAGACACCATGCTTGTCTCCAGGCGGTATATTGCGCATTTAATCTCTATCAGCCGGCAAGTAAACGCCTCGGGGTGTTTAAAAAGAGAGTAAAACATTCTGATAACGCAGAGGTGTCGTGAGTGACTTTCTGTGTGTAAGCGCTCCTCTCCGCTTTGATAGGAACAAAAAGTAATGTTCTCTGTCGGAGGTGTTGTGACGCTCACCCTGAGGAAGGAGTCGAGTGCTCCGTTCTCCATGAACTCCGTGATGATGAGGACGGGGCAGCTCCGCGTCAGGACCCCCTCCAGCCGGATCACGTTGGGGTGGTCGAACTGGCCCATGATGGAGGCCTCGCCCAGGAAGTCCCGCCTCTGCCGCTCGGTGTAGCCGGCTTTCAGCGTCTTAATGGCCACCACCATCTCCCTGCGACCCGCCTGCTTCAGACGTCCGCGGCACACCTCGCCGAATTCACCTGGGTTTGAGAGAACAAGGTGGGGGGGGTGAGGGTGATGGAGGGGGAGAGGGGTTGAGTGATCAGAGGAAGGGTTGACGGAAAGAGGAAGTTGGGGGTGGGGAAAAGTGCGGGGAGAGGGAACGTTACTGGTCGGATTCGGGAGTGAAGGAGCTGATTTTTGAAAGAGTTGAGGGTCGGCTTCAACTGCGGGAGAGGTATTAGAAAAGAGAAGAGGAGAGGCCGGGGGCTCCGGGGTCAAAGATGTTGGGGAGAGAGGGAGTGGCCCATATCGAGTGAGAGTGGAACCTGGGAGCGGTGGAGGGAGACAGGGGACGGACCAGGAACTTGGGTGTTTTGCGAATGGTGTCTTTGAGTGTTTATAAGGGGAGAGAAAAAGAGAAAGAAAGATAAAAAAAAAGGAGGAAGATTGAACGAGCAGGAGCAGACTGTCATTTGAAGTGATGTTAGGACACAACATGCCACTGGAGAGAAAGAAAAAAAAACAGAGACTAGAGGGGGAAGAGCTTCAGAGGAGACTTTTACTTCAATCCTTCCCACTAGCAGCTCTCATGCACTCTTTGAATCCTAACGCTTCTTCCAGAGAGGACTCTCTTACAGAACAGACCTCGAGGCTCTATGGCACCCTCCTGCTCAGATAAATGATTCATAAACCTGAGACCTTTCCCAGCTTATCAGACAAAAACAAGCGGCTTAGGTGTACCTGCACCGATGACTTCTTCTATTTTCACGCAGGAGATGTCTATCTCTTTGGCGAACTCGTGGATGGCGTCGTTGGGGTCCTCGTAGGTGAATGGGTCGATGTAGACTTTGACACCCGGAGAAACTGAGAGGAAAAAATTAATAAGAAATGTTATCATCTAGACAAAGAAAACAACATGGCAAATGTAGAAAAACGATATTAGCCTGTTATTTGCTTGATTGATCGAATTGTCGCTTGTGTATAAAATGTCACAAAATAATGAAAACATTTCCATTGCAAGTACACAAAGCTGGTATCTTTCTGTCAGTCTAGAAACCAACGATTTCCTTATTAAAGATTTTTGTTATTATATGTAACCACGATTTACCAATTATCAATGAAGTTGCCGATTTTTGCTTATCTAATATCGGTCAATTATCTGTAGCAGTAGTTTTTTGAATATATTTTTGGTTTAATCATATTTTTGTATTTTTTATTTATTTTTTTCTTATTTATTTGTTTTCATTTGGCATTTTTGGTAAGAATTTGCATTCCTGCTGAGAGTGAGGTTAAAGGGCAGATTCCACTCCCATGTCCAAACAACATGTCTAATAAAGTTCACATATACAAAGTAGTGCATTACAGTAATCAGGAAGACAACATGGTCTGGACTTCCTCTGTGAAAATTGTAAAAATGTTTCTCTGACTCAATCAGGTGATTGGATAATTGATTGAATCAGTTGGTTAACTGTACTGGCATCACCAGAAGAGCTGAACACATGGACTCACTGTATTGCTGCAGTTTCTCTGTGTACTCCAGCTCCGAGCCGCTGCGCTGCTTCCTGTAAACAAGCAACATATACAAACAAAAGTCACATTCACATTCATCAGTCTCGACCCTGTCTACTTACAGAAAATTAAACTAATATCTAACTCGACCATCAGATGAAATCTCAGACTGCCAGGAAGAGACTCTCCATTTTTTTTTCTCTGGCAGAGCTCTTTTTGAAAGCATGTTAAAGTTTAATGAGCCTCTATGTTCAGTGTCTAATAAAATGAAACATGTAGTTGAGTAGTAAAACATCAAACACTTACTTAAGGCAGACCACAGCAATGACCACCAACGCAACAATGACCACCAGACCCGCGGAGGCCGAGCCGACGATGAGAGGCAGCTGGTCCTGCACCGACTTCTGAGGGTCACCTGGAGCATTAACGCACACAAACACAAATGATTAAATACCACCAAGAACACTAAAAAGATTAAAGGGCGGCCTGTCCCACAAGTGTAATGGCCACCATAAAAACTACTAAGCCAGAACCCCTTATTAAGGAAGTTGTACCAGCAGACATCAAGAACAGACTGTTTAGGCTGTCCACACCAAGAACGATAACTTTAAAAATAGCCAAAATACATTAAAAGAAATAAGAAAATAACTCTCAATCAAGTGGACGGCAGAGACCATCCCACAGCCACAGTGCTGAACATTAGCAATGGTATATCCACTAGCTTTGGAAGCTTGGGGCTTAAGCACGTAGCTTGGGGCTAAAGTGCATAGCTTGGCACGACTGTTAGCATAATTTCCGCAATGTGGTGTGCTTATTATGTTGTCAAATTCACATAGAAAAAAAAGTTCCATTCCTAAATCAATCAGCATAGACAAGTAACTGAATTTAGTGAAATAGCATGTTAGCTAATTCCACATGAAGTCAGCTATTTCCAAAATCTGCTGGGAAAAGTTCAAATTTGAAACAAAGAATAAAAGGGTTAGGTAAACACATTGGAGATAAAAGAGGTTGCCATTGGTATTATTGAACTTTTACTTGACTCACATACAATTTAGCTCTTAATATACGCTTCTCTTATTTATCATTGTTCCTGGTGTAAACAGCCCTTTATGAGAGATAGTGTCCGTACTGTGAAGGCTCGTGCTGAAGTCCATGGGGTTGCTGTAGCGTCCGTATCCGGCAACAGTGCGAGCTCTGACCTGCACCACGTAGGGCGAGCCGGCCCTCAGCCCCTCCACCTTGGCAGAGCTGTGCTGGGATGTTACAGTGTGGGACATCGCCTGGCCCTGGAGTCAAAGAACAGACCAGTTAGGTGTTGTGATGATTTTCAAAGGGCTCGTAGATGAGGAATCTATATTTAAGTTTGTAGTTAGCATTATGTAGTAATACTATTTAGATTTTGAAACACAATGTTCATCCTACAAATTAAAGTTGATTTCATGAGCGGTAAACACATTATTGTTTATTTCAGACTAAGAAGTTTTACTGCTTGAGCTTTTTTTTTGTATAGAACGAACCAAATCTCCGGTTGCTAATGTTAGCTTTTGCTAGCTAACGTTATTGCTCTCTATTTGAACAATAGTTAATATTTATTATGTAAATAATATTTTATCCTGTAATCTTCACCTGTGGAAAAGATTGCTATTATTTGATTATCGATCATTACATTCTCAAATTCTAAATGCATGGTTGCCCAGCAACAAGTTAAACTGTTGCTCAACTTTTGCTGCAATTTAATTCAATCTGCAAAGCACTGAGCTAGCTAATCACATACTGTATATATGTAAATGCATCTTTCCCGCCTATAAAGCCTTCAAAGAAATTGATCACTTACTAAAAACTGACCTCGGTGATGCCAAGCAGACCCTAGCAATATTTTAATGCAGTGCTGTTTTCAGTCCAAACACCCTGCAAGGTCTTTACCATCAACAGTTATAAAATGGCCATATAATATCTGCAGCACTTCACTAGATAATTTAATCAATAACAATGTTGCAGCACTTACATCACCAGTTGCTGAGTTGGACCGGCCCATACTCTTTACCAATAGACATTTTTAGAATCTACCAGTCCCCCCCACACACATCGCATTTCAATATAATATTTTTCAGCATTGATAAAAAATGCTTCTCTCTGCACAAGGCGGAAAAATAAGATGTTTTAGAGTCAACAGGGCGGGCACTGTGACCTACATTAAGGCAGTGGGTAAAAAGTCAAACCTTACTCTTTCATGGTATTTAATCTCGTAGTCGAGGATGACCCCGTTGGGTTTCTCAGGGGGCAGCCACGAAAGGCTGAGAGTGTCCGAGGTGGAGCGCATCAGATGGACGGTGGGCACTGCTGAAGGTGCTGCAGAGGGACATCAGAGAAGACACGGTTAACAATACAGATTAAGCGTACAAAATTCTTCCGAGACACAAAAAGACAGAGTTGAGTGGAATAGTAGAGTAGTGTGGAATCGTGGCAGTTTGTCATTCCAATCAGCTTCTCCCGGTTTGGATTCCTTTATTTTTCATTGTAAAGGAAGTTCTAACCGAAAGCCAAATTGTCTGCAGAGGTCTCTTGGTCTCCAAAACAAACCAAGTGATTAAAATGGGAAAAACACTGATAAAGCAGTTCAGTGCTAGAAATCAGTGTTTCTCAAACAGAAAATAGATGTCTTCAAGAGGCTGCAAGCCCAGAAGCCACTAATGATTGCTCAGCTAGTTTTTCTGATAAAATAAGATCCAGACCATCAGGAGTTTTTCACTTGGAGCTGAATAATCCGCAGAGGACTCTTCTTCTCCAAATCAAACAGACCAGGTGATTTAAACTGATAAAAACACTGAATAAAGCCCTTTCCATCAGGGTTTTTCTGGAGATTCTCTTCTGCGTTTTCTCAGCTACGATAACTTAAGATCCAGGCATCTGATTACTTAAATCCTTCTTCCAGTTAAAATAAATAATTAAAACCGACCAAAGTATCAATGTGGCTTAAAATAAAAAATCTATTTATGCCAATTTACGTCAGACAACCCCATGCTGATGCGGTCACTAAGGAGTTGCTCAGATAAATACCTTAACATATGACCAAATTAAACAGATTGTTACCTTGATTAGAATTAAGGATTTATTTTTGAGAATTTTTGAAAACCTGCGATAAAGTAAGTACATGACTCAACAATACTCATAACGTAGTTCTAGTCATTTTTTGATATTATTGTTACATATTGTGTCTTCAAGGTACTGGACAGTTGCGAGTTAGGGGTATCACATCTTCTAAATTGCCAAGATTTTTGTCTTTCAAAGTCACAAACCATCAGAGTAAGATAATTATTATTCGAAATACTCCAACCTGAACGGTTTAAGAAAAACGGTACACGTGTCACCTTCACTGTTCTGCAGATTATTGATTTGTGAGGCTTGAAATTGACTCAATTGACAGTCATTGTCCTGGCTCCATAAACTGCAGCAGGGTGGATTAAGTGCAGGTTAACTGGGAGAGTAATTACAGTCTGTGAAAGGTGCTGAGCAGTTTGGGTGATGATGACGCTGCAAATATTAAGTAATGATGTTGAAAGGTGACATTGTCAGTGATGTAACGTTAGACGCCTGCCTGACAGACTGCTGAATGCTGCCAGTGTAGATATTAAATATATGTTAACTCTTTACCTGCCTTTCCTGTCACTCTCTCAAAAAGTGCTGCATTGGACAGTTTTCCATCTCTACCTCTCAATGTTTATTGCTGGTGTTAATACGGGTCTGGATACTCATTAGGACACTCATTCACATTGACTGAACGCTGGACCCACTAACCAGCCCGTTTCATTGAGATGTTAAGTGGTATTGATGGGAGCATCTCTATGTATTAACTTGGTCCGTGCACACATCCAATGGTATTGATAGATCTCCTTCTACTAAGAATATCCGATCTCTTCACTGGTTACTAGTAGCTGCCTGAATACACTTTAGGACATTGGTACTGGCCTATTGTACTGGGAATGGATCCGGTCCTTCCTACATGTTAGTAGGGTTCAGTCAACCGGCTGGCCACTCCAAAATGGTGGAACGAGCTCAGGAAATGCACTGAGCGGTGGAGAAAAACATTTATAGTGGCCAAGCGGTGAAACAACAACTTTAACCAATGGTTAACAATTCACTTTTTATTTTTATTTGAGCAGTTCATATAACGTATGATGGAAAGGAGCAGTAAGAAGAAAGTCTTATTTTACCTGCCCTTTACTCAATCCCAGCTGCCAATACTTTACTTTTGTTGTTCATACGGCCCTTTATGTTGTTCGATAAACGATTCCACCGTTTCAGCCCAACTTCAGAGACACACATCTGCTTTAAAGGTCACCTATTATGCAAAATCCACTTTTTCAAGTCTTTAATCCGTAAATATGTGTCTCCTTTGTGTTAAGAGATTTAGAAAGTTTCACGAGAAAAGATTCTCTCTGTTTTTGTCCTGATCCATCTAAAACCTGTCTGATCAGATTTTGGTCACTCACTTTGTGATGTCACAATGTTTTTTTGGGTTTTGCAACCATTGGCCAATAACCAACCAAGTTAACACCCCCCCACCTTATCATCTGAATCTTTTCCTAGAGCACCACTGTATTTTTTCAAACTAATTATCTCTCAGAGGGGCGTGGCCAGCAGCAACTTATTAGCATTTAAAGCTACAGATACAGAATCAGCACTTTTGGAACAGGGCTGAAACAGAGGGGTTTATGAGATGCTACAATGGGTGATCTGTTTGGTAATTCCAGCCAAACACTTCAGAGACATGTTCTGTATATATCTGAGACCTATAATATATTGTTGACAAACAGTATAATAGTGGACCTTTAAAGTAGTACTTCAGTGTCAGTCCGTGACCTCATTGGTCCTAAATATACTTTTCCTTATATACTAAATTAACTATCAATTACATTCACCGGAATATACCTTTTTTAAATCTTTGGGGTTTAAACGTTGTAAAATACTGAGTTATTTTACCTCTCCATCATGTGACTGACAGCGGCGGGCCGTGACAGAGAGGACTGGAGGCGGGGCTTAGGGAAAATGAAAGTGCTCATGCTCTAACGGCCCAGATAATTTTTCTCTTGAGAGTCAGGCCATTTTGCATTCATGCGCCTCTGAGCAACTCTCAGGAAAGAACGAGGACCCAATGAAGTGTCCAGCTTTCTTTATACATAAATGTTAACCAGGATAGCAAAAAGTCTACACATCTTCCGCCGCTGACTAAACACTCTTCTGTTTCCACTGCATCATGGCCAATAAAAAAACATTCAAAATTATGTATGTAGCACCTTAAAATGGTTTGGTTTATTTGGAGCCAATGAACCTAATCTAATGTACGGTGCTTGCAGGATTGTTGCTGTTGTATCTTAATTGCAGTTATTGTAAGTCGCAAGGATAAAAGCTAAATGAAATAAAAAACTGATAAAAAGTACATACCCGCTTGGTTGGTGGTGATGTTGACCGTGGAGTAGACGGGTGGGATGGGGTTCTTCCCAGAGACCCCGTTGACAGCCTGCACCTCGAAGCTGTAGCGGGTATGGGCCTGCAGGTTCCTCACCACCACCTTCCTCTGCCTCAGCCCCAGCCGGCGGGGGGCGATGTCCACGTTGTCGTCGCAGCGCGTGCAGGGGCTGCGGTCCCTCAGGCACTTCTTGCACACCACGTTATAGACCAGGTCGCTCCTCCCGCCCGTGTCCTCGGGTTCCTCCCACTCCAAGGACAGCGAGGTCTCATTCACGCTGGATATAACGTTGCGAGGCGCCTTGGGGATCGCTGCACACACACACACACACACACACACACACACACACACACACACACACACACACACACACACACACACACACACACACACACACACACACACACAGGTGTTTAAGAAGGTGGGCAGGCGGATAAGAAAAACACACAAGTGAGGCTTTATTTATGTTCCCTATGCAGTGCGTACACCCTCTATGGTGATATAAATGTTNCACTGGCACGGGATATGGGTTCACCTCGTTAGGCACCTGTGAGGAGTGTGTGTGGAGAGAGTCGCCGCTTTGACACCGCGCGATGTGATATCCACGCACGCAAACCCCCACGCCCCCCCCAACGCCCACCGATCACTCGGAGCGTCTACCCCCACGACGTCGGGGAGTCGTAGGGGGGGAAGGGCGCAGGTAAGCGCTACAGAGCGACAGAACGTCTGGAGTTGGCGTCGTTCGTCCTTTAATTGGGTCGATTGTGACAGGCGATGAGAGTCATCGCTACGGCGTAGTTGAGGTCGGTTGTGCCGTGGTCTGGGGTGCGTCGTAAAGAAAACAATGGAAAAAGAGAAATCTCCAACGAGGCGTTCTGGGGCAGCATAGACAGGTATTTTCTGTGTTAGAGTTTTACTCGCTACAGGGTGTACTTTGAGGGTTTGTGACTCTGCAGACCGTTTACATGCAGAAAAAGCTACATAACACACAAGGGGACAGGTAATAACCAGAAAAGCATGACATGGGACCTTTAAGTACCATTGTCGCTGTAGTAATTTAACTAGAACATTTAGTATTTTCACAGGGGGTATTGGTACTTTTACTCAAGTAAATAATCTGTATACTTTGTCAACAATTAGACATCAGAGATATTAGCAAAGGATATCGGAAAAATATATAGGACGTGTCCGAGCGGTTCATTTGAATTCCAGAGCGTGACGGCGAAGGTTGCTGATACGGAGTCTTAGGGATAAACCAGCATAAGCTCACACTAAAGAAGGACTCAGATAAAAGGGATTAGCAGCAAAAGGTCTGGATATATCAGCCTCCAGAGCCCCATATTTTACTGTTGCCGCATTCCTAACTGGTGGTGTAAAAGTGGGGGTGTCTGGCAAACATCTGTCCCGTCAGCGTGAGGGCCTCGTAAAAAATCCCAGCCAGCGATGGAGTGTGATTAACTGGTTAGGCTAAGTGGTCTTTCAGTTTGAACTCGACTTCCACCCCTAATTCCAAACAATGGCACTTTGAGGGAAATCAGCGCGGCTAATGGCCCCCACATTGCAGCTCTATAGCCCTGCAATAAAAAGCCAAAGATAAGATGAAAATGCGTTCCTTTTTTTCTTTCTCCTCCTCTCTGTCTCATAATTCAGCGAGACCTTTAAGGCCCTGCGATCTGATTTATTTCACTTCTTTTAGAAAATGCATCATCATTTTCCTCCGTTTGTTTGTTTTCATTTTGCTCCTTTTGGAAGAGGGTGCTGAATCACCCACGCGGTCTTTTTTCAATCCATTAACTTCTTTTGGAGGGCATGGTGATTCTCCTGTTTTCGATACACTAATGCCCCCCTCCCCCCCACCCCACCCTCCACCACCTTCCATTGTCTCCTCTCGTGTTAGACTCCTTCCGTTAGCGGGTAAGAAATGAAACGTCTGAGTGATTAATGTTAGCGTGGCAGTGTTGGCTCACGTTGGGTCTGAATGGTGTTAATGAGTATGGCCGCCTGTAGATTAACTAACGGGAGGAAATTACACTTCCTCATGGCCACCGCCGGCTGAAGCCCTGGAGAGCTGTTTATCAAGCGTTGGCGGCAAGCTTTTAACCTTGAGCCGCCAAATGGCAACGAATGAGCTCTCGGAACGCGTGTCGACTATTTCTCACGCCCAGGTGAGACGAGGCTTTCGCTTGTCTGTCTTTGACTTCCTGTAACCC